CTCTCTCTTCTCTATGCTCTTGCTCACATTAAAAACAAAAGCTTAAAAGTGGACATAGTCAAATTTGTTATGCGCGCAGCAGCAGAAGATGCAGGAGTTGCCCATAGAGAATGTGAACAGTGAACAAAATGGGCTTTGCAGTACTACTTTGTCCACGTGGACTCAACCCGCAAGAAAAGCTATTCTCTATTTTCAGTTGATGGGTGTTTGGTTGCATCTGCATGGTTTTAACAGCAAATTCGATATGTTCACGCATTTGCGAGAGCAAATCGTCAAGAATTCTACCTAGGTGACGGATTGTCAAAGACAGCAAAGCAAGTTATACACTCAGCAAGTATAAAAGGATTTGAAATTACAGCTGCGCATTCAGTAGAATTATCAACATTTATCTGCCGGTGTAAATCCGGTGATTCACCACGGGATAATGCAGTGCAGTGAGTCCAGGTGGTAGTTTTTCTATAGGTGATTTCTCTCCCCTCATTTTGATGCTGGGTAAGAAGAAACACACCACAGAGTTGGAATTGGTGGAGATTTGCTGCCGCCAATGCCCATGAATTGGCTGGTCTTCTATTTATATTGTCGTGATATATTCGCCTTTCATTGGCTGGCAATGGCGCAGTTGGTTTTCATTATGGATGATCCCACTTTTAACGCACGATATATATGTGAAAAATACTGATTCTTCTATACAAAATATACTGAATTTGTGCCCATCCCTACTTTTGGCTATGTATTGTGCGACGTTTTGACGGTTGTGAAAATTGTTACAGAGGCATTGTAGATTATCTGAGGGGCGAGAATGGGGAGTGTACTTGTAAGCGCATGATGTGTGCGTCATTAGGATTATCCGCACGTGGCCCTTAAATCAGTTGCGCGGCTTTGAAACTATCTGCGCTTATACAGAGCAAAGCTTCATAATTAAAAATTTTTGGGAAGTAGTTCGGTATTGTCTGACTTATCCGTTGAAACTTATGCAATACATCAGCAGTCTTCCTTACACCTCGTGACTCTAAATCCGTTCCTTTCAAGGTGCGTGAGTTAAATTGAGACTAAAACAGCAGAGAGACAATATGCGTGATATCATGTTGACAGCAGAAGTTAAAAAACTTCTGCAATGCGAACATTTTCGCTCTCTTCGAGATAAACTTCTCACGTGGTCTGTGATGGGTGAAGGTAGAGCATAGCACTTGGAACGTAAGTGGGATCAGAGATACCATTTCTGGTTTCCTTGTTAACACACTCATTAAAATAACTTTTTATTCTACGCAAAGTTTTATCAGAACGTGTGCATACATGGACACACAATTTTACACAGGTTTCTCATCATTCCATTCTAAATGGAAAAGAAATATATCGCTGCTTTGAAGTCAATTCATACTGTCAAACGAACACAATTGAAAATGCAAAAGAAGAAGTATTTTAAGTAGTGGCACAGCCGCCTACTTTAGCGAAAAAGATGGTAGTAGCAGCTTCCTCAGCACATATTGTCCCTTTCGCTAAGGATGCTGTAAAATCAGCTACATTAACCCTATGCGCATTTGGTGGCTCTATGGATGTTTGAGTACCTTCAAATTAGTAATGATAATAAGCAGTGGGGCGTGAAACAAGTTCATCATCCTATCGCGATAGCTGGTATTGAGGCCGTCTGCATCAGTAGGTATACGCACAGACACCTCTTTCACTGCTTTCCCCTTCGCAATGGTCTTCTTGCTGTGTAGCTTCACCAAACTGCCTTTTGGTAGTGGTCGAGGCCGAAATCAAACCCTTGAGATTAACTCCAACAATCGGCAAATCTATTTTTACTCCCAGTTTTCTAATAAAGTAGTAAGTCAGGCGGCTCATTCTGGTCAAAATGGGCTTCATCATTTACACCATGGCAGTAATTGACAAAGAGGTCGCAACACTGTTTACAATAGTCACCGCACATGTCGTCCTTTGACCTAAGCAGGTAACTTGAACTCTGTGCCATGTTAAAGGCACAGATTAAAAAAAATCTGTGTGACCTCACCGATGTCTGACTATCAGTCATAAATTTTCTGTATTCTGCAATGTTCGATTGCATAATCTCCTTTTCCTCGTTACCTTGAAGGTTAAAGCATAGATTTCATCAATTTACTTTTGTGGAGGTGATGACTTGGCTTAAAGTCCATCACAGTCTATTCAGGTAGGAAGACAAGCTCTGTTTCTTAAAAGAGTACCTACACGAAAATCCATGTTGAGTTTTTGATGTCCAAAATGGCACCGTTCAAAAACCACATCAATTACCAGTCCCTCTGACCACATCAGTCGAAAGATTGTCATAGCGCTTGTCTATCAAATTGAGCCAATACATTTTGCACATGCCAGTGTTAGATGCTGGTATAGAGGTCATTTGCGGTCATCAGCACGGACATGAGTAGCTCATGGATGGACGCTTTGCTTTGGCACATCGTTTTCGCCGCGATTTCGTCTATTGACTCCTCTTCACGCAATGCACTAATGCATTCGTCAAGGATTTGTCGAAACTGCGACTGTTTGGAGAAGTAGAGAGACAAACAGGTGACAAAAATAGACTTTACTTTGAATTTCTCACCTTAACGTTAATCATTATGGCCCAGATTGTGAAACATATCCGTTAACTTAGAACAAGGAACCATAAATAGTGTAGATTTCAGCGTACAGCCTTGGGTAGAATATCTTTCACGACATGGCGATTTAAGACGTCTATCAGTCTATATTACATGGAGGAGATATTTAAACTTGGTATTCAAGCACTTTGAATCAAGTGAATGTATTTTAATGAAATAATCTAGAATAAACCCTCACCATGTTACGGAAAAAAACAAAAGAAGAGTTCAAAGAAAGTGTGGTGTTTTTTTCTGCAAAGTTTTCTCCTCTTAGAGAATTCGTTTTGCGTACAAGCAGTAGAAGGTGAATTTTCTTGACCCATAAGCTAAAGAGATAAGGTATTTAAAAAAATCCAGGGAGAAAGGTGACAAGTTCACTTCATGCCTTTTCCTTGGGGCTTGTCTGCATTCATCTTCAGATAAATCCCGTCAATGGATCAAAATGGAAGTCCAGATGCTGCGAGCAAAATGACACTCTTTTTGACTGCTAAAACAGGTGAGGCTAATTGCATCGTTTTGTAGCACCAAATTATTAGG